AAAAAAGAGGAGGATTGGCAATAGATGTTAGCTCAGAGCCGGTCTTCCTCAGCAAAAAGAGGAGGATTAGCATGGATGTTAGCTCAAGGCTGATCTTCCTCCAAAAAAAAAAAAAAAAAAGGGGCCACCTAATACATGGTGCGTCGTGCCACGGTGCTTAAGTGGCTGGCCAGCAACGGGACAAACACTGGATTTGGAAGCAGAAAGACCCAGATTTCAGTCTCTGCTCTACCACTTATCAGATGTGTGTTACTTTGAGGAAGGAACAATCTCTCTGATGCTTGGTTAAAAAAAAAAATAATATCTCCACCAGTTTCTTTTTAGAAGTTAAGGCTGCTCTATTCAGTATCTGGACTCTATATTAAACTAGGATTGTTTATCTATCTTTTTCCCCAAGGAAAGCAAAATACTGGTTTTCTTCGTCCAATCGACCTGTCTTACCAAATGGAAAACTAAATACACATACAAGAAATGGTGAGGGTACTGCACATGTGTGGGTAAATTCTTTAAAGATAAATAGGTTAATCATTATTCGAATCTAATCCTACGTCCAACCAAGTGTATTTTCATTCAAAGCACTATATATTTCAAGTATTTATAATCTTCTGTATTCCAAAACAGACTCAGAATAAAACAAACAACAAAATCAAAAATTGCATTCCGCCAGCAGCTGGAGCCTATGGAAGCAGCATTCCTTCGTTCAGAGCCTGTGAATCTCTGAACTCTCTCCAGGGTGGTGAAACCACAGACCTGCCTGGGTTATAAGGACTCCCTCCGCATGCCTTTCCTTCTTCGGACTTCACAAGAAAAAGCAAACTGGAGCAGCTGGGAGGAGACTGGACTATCAGGGGCCACTGTTTCTCTCCTAATCTAATGTTTTTTATTTTAACTCCCAGGAGAGCATGGACTGAGAACTTGCTTACTTTATACAGTGCCTGTTTAGTTTCAACCCAGTTACCCACAAATGTTTACCAAGTGCTCTCTGATGAAAATGAATGGATCATCGTTTAGCCAGTGAACTCGATGCCATGAGGACAGAACTTGACCTACAAACACACCTGCCTGAGCCCACTGCAATGTTCTGGCCTCTGGAGTCAAATCTAAGACACAGCCCACCAGTAAGTCCTCAACCGAAAAACAGATTTTGGTCCACAAATCTTCCAGGCGGTCAACTGTAGAAAATTTCCATGAAACGAGGTTATAAATTGTTGTTACGTCTCCAGAATTGTCCACAAAAGCCTCCCTTATCCAAATGAGCTGCGTCTAACTATTCGTAGCATTTACATGATTTCTGATTAGCAAGAACTAAGGAAGGGAGGGAGAGACAGGAGAAAGGCCATTCCTCCTTTCCCGAGGTCCAGGCCAAAACTGGCCAAAAGTCGAAGTTAGCAACATTTGCCTTTCAGCATCCTGACATTATTTTTATACAACTCTCCTTCCCAAGCCCCCAGTAAACCTCACACTGCTCTAAGCACCCCAACTGTGACTTGCCACCCCTAGAGACTTCAAAGTTTTACCCATTTCCCCTGTGCAATGGCAGCAGATCTCAGTTCTTAAGGAGGGCAGCAGTCATATATAAAAGCCAGTTAATTTATTTATTTTTTGTGTGTGTGAGGAAGATCAGCCCTGAGCTAACATCCATGCCAATCTTCCTCTTTTTGCTGAGGAAGACTGGCCCTGAGCTAACATCCCTGCCCATCTCCCTCCACTTTATCTCCCTCCCACGCTGCCACAGCACAGCCTGACAAGCGGTGTGTCGGTGCGCGCCCGGGATCCGAACCCGGGCCGCCAGCAGTGGAGCGCGCGCACTTAACCGCTACGCCATGGGGCCAGCCCCTAAAAGCCAGTTTAAAATAAAGCAATTAAGGTCTCATTTAATCTAGGAAAAAACCAATCTAGACATGTTAATTTATACCCAATGAGTGAATGACAAATACATCCGGAAAGGCAGTGAGTCTATTTTCTTTTTAAAGAAGAGGTTAGGTAATTAAAAATAATCATTTATTATAAAATTGCAAATGGCCTTGATAAAAGGAAACTGAAAAATTCTGAGGATCATTTGGGACAGATTTCGTGTAAGCCAGTCTGTGGGAGTCTGCCCTGCAGCTGACTTTCTTCTGTTTTATCTCTGAAGGCTTTCTTCCTTTCCTAGTGCCTGAGGCTATGGAGCCAAAGCTCCCAGCTTTTCCTAACGGTCCAGGGCAGGAGCAGGGCTGGGATGTCAGGTAAGAGGGGGGTAAGGAATAGAAAACAATCAAGCCAGTTACACAAATGAACATGATCACTGGGGCATCTCCAAACAAAGGCACTGTAAACTAGGACATCGGTCAGCCTGTCGTTTCATGATGTTACGGCATCTGTAATTTAGTTTCACATATTCCAGCTTAGACAGTGAAACATAAAGGTTAGTCTTAAACCTATCTGAACACTAGTCTTGACCTTAGGGCCAGTCAGTTGCCCTAAAACAAGAATTCATACTCCAGGGCTGGTCAGCCAGGCATCTAATCGGAAAGCCACCCTCTGAAGGTGGCACTACAAGGCTTCAGCTGTCTTTAACTCCCATCAACTTCCCAAGCTTTGTCAATTAGCATAATGAATTTTAGAAATGGATTTTCACTATAGAAATCAGTGGCTTGTTAATTAGCAGAATGGATGCCAGAAACAGGATTTCCTGGGTGAAATTAATTGTATCCAAGATAGGCAAATGGATAAAATATGTTAGCGACATTCCCCACCCTTGCACTAAAGTGTATAAGAATCCAGTGAGCCCTTCTTCCAAGACGCTTAATCTCTCAACAGTCCCAAGTCCCTCTGAAGGTTCAGAAGGTCTTGGCGGTCTGGCTCACAGCCTGACTCAGTTAGCCAAATCCTGCTCCTAGAACATTGCTACAATTGCCTCCAATGAACTCGTTTTCAAAACACCAAAAAAGACAGACAGCAGGGACTTTATTACACTTATAGGACTTTAAGTATGGGCTGTTTTGTGCCAGCTTGCTAAGATAATGTCTGTGTGTAAGAATTTAATCTCCCATTATAATGTAGGTATAGTTAACCCTCACTGATACAGACTAAATGTTTGTGTCACCCACAAAATTCATACACTGAAGCCCTGCCCCCCAATATGATGGTATTTGGAGATGTGGCCTTTGGGAGGTAATTAGGTTTAGATGAGGTCATGAGGGTGGGACCCTCCAGATGGGATTAATGCCTTTATCAGAAGACACACCAGAGAGCTTTTGTGCTTGCTCACACTTGCTCCATGAGCTAGCTCTCTCTTGATCTCTCTCTCCCGGCTCCCATGCTCGCATTAAGAAGAGATCACACAGCAAGAAGGAGACCATTTGCAAGCCAAAAGGGAGAGAGAGCTCTCACCAGAAACCCACCATGCTGGCACCCTGATCTCAGACTTCCAGCCTTCAGAACTGTGAGAAACTAAATTTCTGCTGTTTAAGCCACCCAGTCTATGGTAGTTTGTTACGGCAGCCCGAGCCAATTAATACACTCACCTACATTCAATCTTTCTCAAACAAATAAACAAAAAAACTAAAACCATAGTTATCTATAATTAAAATATTTCATTTATTTCAAGTTTTTAAGTTTTCTTTAATATAGTTATAGCTAGAGTTAAATATGAACAACCTATAAGTTGCCCCTTGCCTCCCAGGGTCCATTCCCTACCCCCAAATCCATTCTCACTTTCTTCTTCAGTAAAAGAACCCTAAATTTTAGCTACACACATGGCACCCAGAAGAACCACTACATTCTCCAGCGTCCTTTGCAGCTAAGCGTTATCACGTGACTTGAGTTCTAGCCAATGGATACAAGTGTAAGTAGCTTGTCCAACTTCTAGCCTGTGTTCTTAAAGAGATGGGTATGTTTTAATCCCTCCCAGCTAGTCATTTGCTGAACACACTGGGTAGAGTTGGAGCAGCCAGCTTGGACCATCAAGTAGAAGCACACTGAGGACAGTAGAACAATACAGAATGAGCTGGGTTGTTTTTTTGTGTGTGAGGAAGATCAGCCCTGTGCTAACATCTGCCAATCCTCCTCTTTTTTTTGGTGAGGAAGACTGGCCCTGGGCTAACATCCGTGCCCATCCTCCTTCACCTCACATGGGAGGCCGCCACAGCATGGCCTGCCAAGCAGTGCATCGGTGCACACCCGGGATCCGAACCGGCAAACCCCGGGCCGCCGCAGCGGAGCACACGCACTTAACCGCTTGCACCACCAGGCCGGCCCCAACAATGAGCTGTTATACCAGCCTGGGCTGCCTATGTTTAAGTGAGAGGGATAAACTTCTATCTTATTTAAGCCATTGTTATTTTGTATAAACCATTGTCACTTTCAGCTAAACCTCCAGCTAACTAGCATAATAAATGACATTATTAAAAGTGATTTTTTTTTCTTAATTAAAAAAAGTGATAGTACCTCTGAAAAATTTCTTACCAAGGAAGCTCAGTCAATCCTCCTTGTACAGCAATAGCAGACCTAACCCTATTAGCAAACTGGACTGCATCTTCTCCTTCCTGGGGAAAAAAAAATTACAAGTACATCTTGGGGAAAGAATTTTCAAATAATGCCTTAAAACATCTCATAATCATTTAGATTTGTTTTAAAATATAAGATTCACATTTTAGCTCAAATATGTTGTATTCTCAGTCAATCATAGCAAATATCATTTGTTCTATCAAGAAAATGCAGTGCCGTCTTGTTTAATACTTTTTATCATGTGTATATACTTATTATGCTCTTTATTAGTCTCATCCAAGATATAACATTCTACAATATCTGTAGGTTCAATAAACCAACAGCAATTGTAAAAACTATTATGGAAAAGAGTCTTTGAATATAAAATGATTTGAAGAAAGCTAAATACATTTTTTAAAAATGACTCATTTGCTGAGAAAGTAGAAAGTAAGTCCAGCTCTAGCTGATGTGAAGAAGGGAGACAGCCAGGTTTTCAGGTGAAGGTTCTCTGGCCTTTATCTGATTAGATAAAGCACCAAAGACCAGCCATCATGGAAGGATACCTCTCTGGTCATGGGGGGCATGTACCAGACGTCACAGACGATGGCCCAGCTGGTCATTATTCGAAGCAGGTAGCTCACCATGTTGTATTTACTACTGTTCCAAAATGCATCACCAAACTGAGGGTTATACTGAGAAAAAAGAACAAAAACACATCCCAGTTATGAACTAAGTGGTGGCTTCTCTTATCCTGCCAATGTTTTCAAGGTGGCAGGCCAAACAACTCTATCAGATTCCAAGAAAAAGATAAGCTACTTTACTTCACAGAAATAACAAAAAAGTAAACGAGCCAGCTAACTCCTCTGACTAGAGCCCCAGAGCACTGCAACAGAGGGCTATTTATGCAACTCTTAAATATCTGTCTCCCACTTAACTGGAAAGTGGGTGGAAGTAGAGACGGTATCGGTTTTGCCTTTGACTGTGCCCTCAGCACTCAGGCACTGGTCTGGCACACAGTCACCTGGTACATATCTATACATATTATCAATAGAGAGAGAGAGACAGAATGATCAAGTAAGTGGGGCAAAATGTAAATAACTGGTGAATCTGAGAAAAGAGAATACAAGTGCTCCTTATTCTTGCAAATTTTAAGTGTGACGTTATATCAAAATAAAGTTGCCAAGTCACTGTCCTCTTTTTGGACAAGGGGCGGATATCTGTTTTACCTTAATTGCAACTGGATGTATGGTTCCTCCAATTTCAAAGCTTCCCTTTTTAAACATCATGACTGAAGTGTTGTTGATGCAAGTTCCTGCAGGGGAATAGGAGTGGGGGGTGGGGATGGGGTGAATATTTTTAAAAGTAGTCATTTTTTAAACAAATTTTTTTTGTGTGTGTGTGAGGAAGATCAGCCCTGAGCTAACATCCATGCCAATCCTCCTCTTTTGGCTGAAGAAGACTGGCCCTGGGCTAACATCCGTGCCCATCTTCCTCTACTTTATGTGGGACGCGGCCTCAGCATGGCCTGACAAGCGGCGCGTCGGTGCGCACCTGGGATCCGAACTCGGGCCGCCAGCAGCAGAGCGCGCGCACTTAACTGCTATGCCATGGGGCTGGCCCCTAAACAAATTTTTAAAAGGAATTATTTTTATATAAAATAATCTTAAATATTCAAATCATATCAAAATGACAGACATTTTACTACCATTTCACTGCTTAAGTACTACTTCAACAGTTTCAAGCAGGTTTAATAACAAATTTTTACTTTATTATTGAATACTCTACAGATACACCTTCTTCGCAACAGACAATAATTTCAATACATTTAAAATAAGGACCTTTAAAAAGTTACAGACAATATCTTTCTAAGTTCATTACACAGAAATAATTTTTAAGATCGAAAAAGTACCATGACTTCCATCAACTCTCAAAAGAAAGCAGGGTATTACTAGCTCAGAAAAGCCCATCCCATTCTTATAGGACAGCAGAGATCTAGACTAAGAATGCTAATTCTAGAACAATCCAATTCCTCACACACTTTGGGTGCTTGTTGTTATCAACTATAGTTTAGGAGGCAGTCTCCCTTCTTACCTTCAGGAAAGATTAATATGGGTAATTTTTTCCTATCAGCAATGTGTTCTTTTAATCTGTGAAGAAAAACAAAGGCTCAAAATTCCACCTTTAGAAAGAGAGAGGTGGGAATCCTCTTTGGTATTCTTTACGCTTTACTAGCACGAAGATATTGTAAAGCAATAAGGAGAACAGAAATAAGATATAAGTGAAGGAAATAAACTCACATTGGTCCCTTTCTAAAAAAGTGTAAGGATATCTGCACTACTTCAACTTCTCTCATCTCAAAGTGAGTGATGGTTCAGTGCCTTCTGCCTACTCTGAAAAACGAATGCTAGGCAGTCATGCGACCCAAGCTCTGGAGCCCCATGTCATGAGCTCTATGCTCTTCTCCCTGTACTTACATTTCCTCATCTGAAGAATGGGAACATTGATTGCTGGACCCATCTGCCTTATGGCCAGTAAGTATAAGAAGACTCCTTGAGTGAGTCAGGCTGAACTTGCCTATGAAACATGCACCACAAAGCTGAGAACGACAGTTCTTCCAGACTCAGGTCCTGTCCTCCCTGCAGCCAGCCCTATATTCCCAACTGCTCACCGGAGGCTGGTATGGCTGAGAGAGAGAGATCACAGCTGCCAGAGTATCCCACTGCTAAATAATCTCAAGATAGGGAACAGTTTTTCTAACCTTAAAGAGATTTCAACACATACTTTTCATTTTACTCTGAAGAGCATGGCCCACCTTCATGTTTACAGAAGCAATGACCAGAGTGCCTTCAGTTAAGGGCCTCAGGCAAAAAGCTGTTTCCCAGCAAAGGTTTCTAGTAGCTTATCTCTATCCCAAGCCCCAGAGGTTCCCTCTCCTGTTCCATAAAGATCATCAGCTCTGTCTGTCTCTAGATAGATTTATGTGATAACGGTCATGCAGCAAACACTTAATCACCATCTATTTATTCAGCAAACACTTGCCAATTATTTAACTTCCGAGGCCCTAATTTTTAACTTTGAAAATTCAGTGGCTGGACTATACCCAAGTTACAGCAATATAAACTTGTGTGCCTTCTAACCTTATTATATGTCCCACTATGACCACAGAATTAAAATTTTTAAAAATCTAGCTAAGACAAGTGATTCACCAGAAAAAGCCAACCTGAGCTAACATCTGCCAATCCTCTTCTTTTTGCTGAGGAAAACTCGCCCTGGGCTAACATCCATGCCCATCTTCCTACACTTTATATGAGACGCCGCCACAACATGGCTTGACAAGCAGTGCGTCGGTGCACACCCGGGATCCAAACCGGTGAACCCCGGGCGGCAGCAGCGGAGCGCGTGCACTTAACCGCTTGCGCCACCGTGCCAGCCCCTCTATGTTTTAGTTTTAATCCTTGGTACTGCTCTGCCCTCTCTGGCAGGAAGGCCAAGATTCATCAGATTTCATGCTACCCCAAGGAACACTGAGTAATGTCACTGCTTACCTCTTAGTAACCAGGTGCCGATCCTTCATTTCTGAGCGTTCAAACCAGACATGTGGACAAGCCTTGACCATAGCTCTCTGAATAATTCCCATCAATCCTCCATGAACCTGACCAACCTGGAAGGACCATGAGGAAAAGAGAAAAAAAGAGAAAAATGTAAAGGCACAGATGTCCAAAGAAAGCCTTTTTTTTTTTAGTACCAGTAAGTTCCTATTCCCCACTCAGAGAAAGGATTGGCATTCTTGTACTGACTGAAGTTCTTAGTCTATTCAAAAACATGAATAGCCAAATATAAGCAAAAAGCGTTCTCTGGCACTTTTGAATTTTAGGCTGTGTTGTTACGCTAGCTATCCTCTACCTTTAAAAAATAGAGTTCTTTCAACCTAGTCAAGAGCAGAGAAATGCACATTAAAACTACACTGAAATACCATTTCTCACCCATCAGACTGACAAAGATTCAAAAGCTTGACGATGCCCTCTGAGCCAAAGCTATGGGAAAAGGGCATTCTCAGACATTGCTTGGGATGGGCAAGATTCTAACAGCCATGGAAGGAAATCGGGCAATATCTACTAAATGTATATCTACATATACATTTATGCTTCAACTCAATAATTCCACTTCTAGGAATTTACCCCAAAGATATACCTCCAACAAAATGAAAATACATATACACAAGGATTTAATTGCAGCATTATTTGTAATTGTGAGATATTGGAAACTACCTAAATGTCCAAACACAAGAAATTAAATGAATAAACTATGGTACATACACACAATAGAGTACTATGCAGCTGGGAAAAGAACAAGGTTGATTTCTATGACCGATAAGGAGTGATTTCTAGGAGATATTGTTAAGTGAAAAAAGCAAATTGCAGAAGAACAAATATAATATGCCACCTTTTGAGTAAGACAGAAAGGGAAATAGAGGCATATATTTGTTTATCACTACAAAAAGAAAGGATAACCAAAACCAAAATGAAGCTGGAAACCTGCAAGGGTAGGAGGCAATGGGGTAGAAGGGACATGGGAGAAAGGGATAATTCTATGAGTATACATTTTTTGTTTAGTTTTAACATTTGGAAGCATGCTAATGTCCTACATATTCAAAAAATAAATCAACAAGAATGGGACTGGCAAACTGAAACAAATGAACCCAACTGTATTTCAAACAAATAAAAGAACACCACTGAAAGAAGTGGAAAAAATCCAAGAAATTTACCAAGACAGTATTTGACCACACACCCTCCATCTCTGGGTGGGGTACCAAGAAGAACTATAAAATATCCTGAATTCTTTTTACAACATTTGTTTTTTGTAGTGAAACAGGTGAAGCAATTCTGAAACAATTTCAGACATATTGTAGGATGGAGAAAATGAATAAATATGTTGATATTGTTGGAAAACGGAGTTTTCATTGTGAAAAAAGGAGATACAAATATGGATTGGGGGAAAGCAAGAAAGAACTTCATGAATGGATATAGACTCAGATTTCCAAGATTATATTAATATTATAAATAAATATTAAATATAAATATATTAAAAATATAAATATTTTACACACATTTTTACATAGAAAGAGAGGGAGAAAGTCAGTGCATCAGGATGCGAATGATAAAGTGAACGGGGCAAAATGTTATCAACAGGTAAATATGGATAATGGGCATACGGATATTCTATGTAACATTCTTATTATTACAACTTCTCTGTAAGTTGTAAAATATCTCTAAACCGAAAAAAAAAGTAGAAGTCTTTGTGTAGGACGAAAAAGAGGCTTTAAAAAGTCACTGAGAAGAGATCTTGAATGTTTTCAGCTATTTAGTTTATGTTTAGCAAAAAGAGGCCAAATGTGACCTCTGGAGGTTAGCAGTACAGTTTCCTCCCACTTCTGCCCTACTGCCTCTGACTTAAATCCAGTTGGCTTTAGGTTTGTGATCTCTCAACCCACTGGAAAGTTCACATGCTATGAACTATGCTTTTCTAAACCTTGGTTAATATTGTAACTGCAGTCATACACAATCAAAAAGCATGGCAAATGCCGACAAAATTCTGACGCTCTCAGTCACAAATGAATTATACTCACCTCTTTGTTGACCAAGACACAGAATGACTATGGTCTCAGAAACACAAAATCGTGATTAGGCAGGCTGGTTAAAATGCCTGAACCTCTGCTTTCTCATCTACAACAAAATCTCGGCCCTCAACCTCAGTGGATTACAGAGAAGGTCAAATACAATGGATGTGAAAGTGCTTGTCCACATAAATGCAAGAAATTATTATATACACCCAGAACCGTGCTGTGCATCTACCAAGAATTGTTAAAGTGGGGCCAGCCCGGTGGCGTAGTGGTTAAGTTTGCGCGCTCTGCTTCGGCGGCCCAGGGTTCACAGGTTCGGATCCTAGGTGTGGACATACACTACTCGTCAGCCATGCTGTGGTGGTGACCCACATACAAAATAGAGGAAGACTGGCACAGATGTTAGCTCAGGGCTACTCTTCCTCAAGCAAAAAAAGAGGAAGATTGGCAATAGATGTTAGCTTAGGGCCAATCTTCCTCACCAAAAAAAAAAAAAAAAGAATTGTTAATGTGAGCGTCCTTGGATTAGCTTTCCAGGGACCCATAAACATCTTGAAATTATACACAAAATTGTATGATGCACATGTATGTTGTTGTTGTTGTTTTCTAAAACAACGGTACATAACTGTTAATTGATTCCTAACCAAAAGAAGGTTAAGAACTACCAATTCTCGTAAGGCTTTTCAGAGAGGTGGTTAAAGTTTCCTTAGATTCAGAAAGAGCTCCACAGCTTAGAAAAATTTAATAATGTGTTAAAATGCAGTTGCCCAAGAGTTATATATCTGAACTTGTATTTTAGACAGATTAAATATCTGGCAATAAGTTAGTTTTTACAAAAGCCTTCAAAGCCCTCTCCATGATGCTATAACCCATGGATAGTCCAATACTGGCACATGTGCCAGCACCCCTCACTCTCCTACCTGTAGCAGACACTTAATCAATAATGGATCCCTTCAAATGTCTTCCCAGAAAAGCACACCCAACCAGGACTATCAGTCACCAGAGCTGACAAGTGGAATAAAATCCATCTACTCTTTCTGAAACCCAAGCCACCACCATGAGATATGAAAAGAAGATTCCCCAGGAGCCCTCTCCCATCATTCTATTCCGCACACAAGCTTAGGTCATATTTACCACCATGTAGGAAAAGACATCTTTAGCTATCCTCCAAAATCTACCTGACACATACATAAAAGAGAGGAAAGAAATCTTGACAAGTTCTTAGGGGCAATGGAAAACAAAGATTTAAAATATGTCAGAATGTGGTTCATCCCACCAAAAGGTCTTTTGAGGTGTCTGATTTTATTGTGGGCTTTGTGGTTTGTTGTTGGGTTTTTTCATTTCTTTTCTTTTCTTTTCCTTTCTTTTGGGGCTGTAGGCAAAAACCAAGAAAGGCAATGTGGTATAAATATTTGCCTTTCTTGCTTGATCTTCATTAAAAAGATAAATTTTTTTTTAATTGCATATGACTCGAAGGAAGACAGAACTAACTGCCTGGGAAAGGCTTTGTACAGCTCTAAGGAGGAAGACTTGAATGTCTCAGTGTTATTAAACATTGCAGGGATTTTAGAAGCAAGATGAAATCAACTTTATAAAGTCCTATCAAGCCCAAGTATGTCTACATCTCAGTAAGCTAATTTTTTACTACCCTAAATATAATGGCTATTGCCTTTCTTTTTCTTGCACTATCTATTCCTCATGTAAATATATTACATAACCTATATAGCTACAGTAGTATAACCCAGTGACTTTCTAACATAAAATTCACTTCATAATTTGCCAAAATAAATTAAGAGTTTGCACAATCCAGAAAACATGCAACAACTTGAAATCTCAGTGAGCTGCTCTTACCATAGCATAGCATCCATCCGTTGTCAAGATCAAAACATCTATTGGGGAGGTATGGTTGGCAACACAAATGCCTCCCCTCTGGGGTCTATACTGCCTGCAATTACAAACCATGGTAAATGCTAAACCTTGAAAAATGCCCACGACTTTGCAGAACAGCATGTAGAGATTCATCCTATTTTGTTTTAGAAAGTACGTTAAAAAAATAGTTTCAAAGTATATGGCCCATCTTGAAAAGCTTAACTCTAGGCAGTGTGATGGGAGTGGGGTAAGAGCACAGGAGAAAGGACCCATGACTTTCCCTTTACATACATTTATGTTGCATTTTTGTAATGATCATATTTTCCTTTGATATGAAAAAATAATTTTAAAACATTAGACTGAATTACAAAGATTCCATAACTTGAATAAATTTTGTGATATGTAAATTCCACTTATTTTATCATAAGTATTTTCATATTATTTCAATCTTCATAAGCATCACTTTTAATGGCTTCATTGTGATCCACAGAGTAAATGTACTATAGTTTCTTCCCTCCTATCCCCCTAAAGCAGAGGTTGGCAAGTTTTTCCAACCACAGACCAGATAGTAAATACTTGAGGCTTTGCAAGCCAGCCAATCCTTGTCAAAACTATTGGACTCTGCTGTTTTGGTACAAAGGCAGCCACACACAATATGTAAATGAATGAACATGGCTGTGTTCCAATGAAACTCTAATTACAAAAAACAGACGGCAGGACACACTTGGCCTCCAGGCCCATAGTCTAGTTTGCCGACCTCTGTCCTAGAGGTTCAACCAGTATTTGACACTAAGGAAGCAAAGCAGTTTTCTTTGGGCCAATCTAGAGAAGAAAGAGAATCAAATGCATCACAACTTTAGCATATTTTCCTTACAATTGGAGCAATTGTATAAGAAGTTATGAACTTCTCTCTATGTAACTAAAGCACCTTTTCTGTAGAAGATCTCTCCTCTGATCACACTTCTACCAAAATATTCTCTTCTACTCCTCATGCCAAAACTCATAGCCCAATCACAAAACATTAGAAATTTAAGGGGCCTTTTATGTTAACACATGGTAAAGCCAAATGACAAAATGTTTCCCTTCTACAAATGAGCCAGGAAGATCCATTCAGGGAAAAAGAGAGGCTTGTCCTAGAGCTCTTAAAATAATGATGTTATATGTAAAAAAAACAAAATTGAGTTAAAAGAAAAGTAATTCAAAAACAATGAAAATTCCCTTCACTCAGCTAATGAGTTCACTCAGCTACCTTCATCCTCTGTGACTAGGGGTGAGGGAAGCAGAAGGTCGTGCTCTGTTTTCAGGCTCGCTTATGGAATTTTAGAAGCGGCACGACTGAGACTAGAAAGACTAGAAACCAGCCTCCAGACTCCAAGTCTATCCTCCTTCCACCACCCTGAAGGCCTGTCAACTTCACTATCTTTTAATCAGACAGACCCAGTTCAAACCTGACTCTGCCACTTCCCAGCTGTATGACCCGAGACAACCAGTCCCAGCGTTTCCACTGCTTTACCTGTAAAATGGGATAACAGCACCCACCTCAGAGGGATGACCTATGAGAAGCACAGGCCTGGCCTGTGCACCACAAACGCCCAATGATGAGTGTCATTACAGATTTATTATCATGTTCCTTCTGCAAATGGATTGCTTTTTTAAAGTGTTTCTGGGCATTGTTACATCTGTGACACTCTAAGCAGCGGGGATGAACCACTGGAAGTACTCTTACTTCAACTGCTTCCTCCCACCCACTTTCAAGGCTCTCCTGTCAATCACACGCTGGATTTACCTAGAGAAAGGCAGGCACACACAAGCCAGCAGACACTCACTTGTTATGATAATGAATGGTACCAGAGAGGGCTCGCACACAGATCCGGCAGCAAGTCAGGTGGACCAGTTCACTCAGCCAGTTTTTGAGGCTGAAGAAAAGACAAAACATTTTATTCTGCAGTTCTGGGCACTCCTAAGAAAAAATACAACAAAAGCTTCAATGTGCTCCTTCACAGCAGCATACTGTGTTCTGAAACACAAGCACAGGTCAAGTCTTATAGTCTCATTGAGGCATTTAGGACAAAACTTTAGTGGAAAATAGCTCCCATCATATTAGACTATCATGATAAACTCCTGACCAAGATAAGCTGAAGTTTCTTTGGTCTCAGCCTTACGAGCTTGACAACTACTCTCTTGCCCTCCTTGAGTTCCTCTGTCCATTTGCTTTCTTCTCTTCTTTTCCTCCTTGAAAAACAACTTCTTAAGATTTATATGAAAGTATGATGGAAAATCAAATAAAGACTATGAATATGAAGTAAGCAGGATTTTAATAAGTGTGTTGAGGCCATAAATTGGTGCAATACATAGGAATCAAACAAATATTCTCTTTGTGGACTCAGCTAAGAAAAAGGACAATCCTATCTATGGCTGGGTGGAAGGAAACATCTTACCTGCTGTCTGGCAGCTGCCCCACGAGTGTAGTTCCCATAACCAACAGAGTGATCCCAATGAAAGCCAAGGCAACCCTGAAAAAGCAAAGAAAACATCATGCACAAGTTAGTTAAACAGTAGAGGACAAGGGAAAGAACCTAAAAGTTCATAAATAATGAACTTGTAAATAAGGTATGGAGCATCCATGCTATGGAATATAACGCAGTCATTTTAAAAAAATGGGTAAATCTATAGATTCTGACATGGAAGATGGTCCTTGGTACATTTTGAGAGAAAAAAAGCAAACTAAGTTTCAAAATAATATATAGAGTATGATACCATTTTCACAATAATAGTAAGCACATAACTCGTCTATAGACGCACAGAGAAGGCCTGGAAATCTGTTCACAAAACTGCCAAGTTCAATCTACGTAATGATCAAAGGGTTAAGCAGGCTAGTGAAGGGAATAAATTAAAAGTCTTGCCCTTCTGCTTTTCTGAATTACTTTAATTTTTATTTAAATACACACATACCAGCTTCTTGTATAATATAAGAAAAAAGCTTCGTGTTGTATAAAGGAGTCATTTCAGGTTGAAAGTACTTATTTTGTTCAAGATGCTTTGGTGTGGTGTGGTATGGTTGTAAAAGGAAATATCTTGCAAAGGTCTGAAATTGACTTGTTTTTCTGTGTTTTTTAATGATGGGAGTGCAAAAGGGTATAATTCAAATTTTTCTCAAAGGAATTTAAAATTTATAGCAAATGGCAAAAGAGTTATACTTAAAGGCTCTTTCATAATAAGAATACAAAATCATCTCTCCAGGTAGGAATCCTTTAATGCAAATCTAACTGTTGTCCCCTGTAGGTTCAAGGTAACTCAGAAGTTAGCAAACAAGGTGACTGACAATACCTCTAATCTCCGCATACACACTTCCTCATTTTTGAAAAGTGCTTTTAATATACATTCTAATCACTTCAAAAAGAAAATAGTCATTTTTAGAAATGTAAACAGAATTACTCAAAAAGAAAAGGCTGAGATTTAAAATCTTTCAAAATAAATAGGGCTTCCTTTTTATAAATACCTTGGTAAGGTGTTAAACCTTCTTCAAGTTTTGGTTTAACACTTCTAACAGCAATTTGAAGGTCAGATTCAGTTTTCTTTAGATGTCATATTTTCACTTCTCTGATGCAATAACTAAATCACTGTTTAATCTCATCCATCAACTCTGCAAAAGTTTTAAAATAATGTTTTGCCCTCTTGCCCTAATGAGAATCACTTGTTCTTACACATTAAATCAGAAGGGGTTACATTTTACTGTGTTTAACATTTGGGTTCAAAACTATGGAAAGTTTTTATTTGCTAGATTAAGAGATCAGAAAATTCTGTTTCCCAGTTTAAGTGAGCCAACATGAGAATTCTCACGGATGATCAAGTTTTCAGCCACAATCTGTTTTTTTAAGAGCTTTACTGAGATGTAATTCACATATCATACAATTCACCCATTTAAAGTATACAATTCAACAGCTTTTGGCATATACACAGAGTTGGGCAACCATCAACACAATCAATTTTAGCACAATCTGTTTTTTAAATGTTCATTTTGTAGCAAATGCTTCTTTTAAAAAGCATTGACAAAGCAAGCCTTTCACACTGAAGGGTATGAACTAAGAGTAGGAGTCTCAATTCTGCAATTTTCTTCTTGTTGTTGGGTACTTCCATTACTGGATTATCTTAAATCTGTTGTTTCTTTGCAAGAATCTTTTATGTCACTTATCTATTTTGTGACTGTTAGCTTAAACTAGATAATATAGTCATAACACCATCTGCTGGGCAACCAAAGCAGGTGAAAGCTAACCAACAAATGAGGGCATCTCAAGTACTCTGTGTTGTAAAATTCTCACTCTTCTATCAGGTTGCCTTGGATACAGTGCCTGACCCATGGACCAAGTGAAGATGCAAGAGCTAATCTACATATTCAACTTTACTAAAGTTTCATTTCTTTTTAAGAATAAAAACAGAATAAATGGAAGCTCTAATTATAAATTGACTAGAAACTTGTAAAAAATAAAAGTTCAAATATTTTCTTCCTGCACAACAATGGATGGATAGTCTTGTGCATCCCCAGAGTCCATGAACCCTACTTTGGGAACACTGGCTTAAGGTTCAAGCAAAAGTGCATGTGAAACCCTGAATTTCACTTTGTTATCACAACTGAAATGATCCCAGACGACATTCCATGCCCCAACGTCTAGACACTGGCAACATGAGCACAAGAAAACAGAAAGAGCTTCTTAGAAATCTGCCTTTGCCTATATTTGAGCAATCTCTTCCCTTACAATAAATCTGAATGAGGCAAGTATAGACCACCCTAGGGATGGTAAAGAGGTTTCAAAGCACACGCCAATTTTAGTTGGCTGGTAGCAACTGCCTAGAAAGCTCTACTGAGAGGATGCAAAGGCCATGACCAGGGAAATGAAGTAAGACAATCAACAGCAATGCTATGGCTGGTACACATGCCTACTCCCCGCCATCACCATGTTAAACACACCTTGGCCACTCACACTTCGTCCAACTGCCCAGTGCCACCTCTTTTACTCTTATGTTCCACACTGTGGTTCCAGTAAACTGAGCTTTACTGGGTACCTCCTCATCAGGCAGCACTCAAACAGAACCAGAAGGGGGCCCGAGTGGGGAACTCTTAATAAGAAAAGTGAGTGATCATAATGGAATTGGATGGAACAAACTCCCTCTTTCGAATGGCTCTCTCCCATGGGGGTAACCACTCTCAGGAATTATTCCTCTCCTGTGCAGTAGCTACGAACTGCTACAGACCAGCAAAGAGAGGCAGCTATAGTTTGGTTGACACACAGGTGAATATGAAACTGTAAATCCTCTTTATTCTTTTTTCTAACTTCCTTTTTCTATCCATCCTCAAATTATCTATGACTGAAAGAGCAATGTGGATCCACATTGATATCTACTGGATTCTGAATACACACCTTCATTTGGGAAAAAATGTGAGAACAGATATTAATATGTTCCTGTAGGGTTCACATTTGGTGGTGTTTTCTAAGTGGGAAAGGATAGGATTAGCTCCATAGTACTCTCATCTGGCCATTACATACATGATTAAAAAAAGAAAGTCGAACCAACGATCCCATCAAATTACTGGGCAGGAGACGTACCTCAGAGGTAGGAGGACACAGTAGCGTACTATGACGCCCAGCCCCCACACCATCGTGAGCCGCAGACTGATGTAGTGGAAATTTACATTGGTCCTTGTGAGGAGATTCCATGACACTAGCTCCTCTGAGGAGAACCTCTGGGTCACTTCATCTTCCACAATGGCTTCCAATCCCTTCTTGGAGAAATAAAACACGTCAGACAGCTCAAAGTCCCTTCCTCGAAGACCAGACAGCCCTTTCTCCATGGGTGACTCATCTCTCTGGATAATACCTTAAAAGAAAGCATCAGGACATGAGAAAACACCATAGGACAGAACAACAACTGAGCAATGGGGCAACTTTGTGCAGAAGACAAGTAAATAAATTTAATTGGCAACATGGAGCAGATTTCAGAAATAAAAGACAAGCAATTGCAACGGGAAAAGAGGTGGCATCACTGAGTCTCCATGAAATGGCCTCCACCCAATGATTTCAATTCATTTCGAAGGAATTTAGCTCCTTAATAACCCTCTTTTTGCATTTCCTCCCAACACACCATTAGCAAAGGAATTCACAGAAACAAACTCTTCCCAAATATAGATCTAGACTATATAAAAATAAAGACTTCTGTTTTACCCTCATAAAAACCATAATGTCAAAAAGCAAGCAAAATGACAGAAGATATTTACCACAAATGGCAAAAGGTAGATGTTTTTAATATATAAAAATTAGTTAATATTGAAAACACAGGCTCCTACAGAAAAGTAAGCTAAGTTCATGAACTGAACTTATAGAAGCAACATAAATAGTTAATGAATATATCAATACCTCTTTACTAGTAACTAAGGAAATGTGAATTAGACAAAGATTGGTCTATTTACATGATCAAATCAGCATCATTTTTGTTTAATGATAGACGTCAGTGACAGAAATGATAAAGGTACTCTCAGACTCAACTTGTGTGAGTGTAGAACTAGCAGCAACTTTGTCAAAATAGGTTTGGCATGAAGAGACTAAAAATAGTTTTGCTGATGATTCAAGAATTCCAATTCTAGGAATCTGTCATAAGAAAATAATCAGAAATGTAGGAAAGTGTTCACTGTAGCATTTTCCAGTATAATCAATCCAGATAATGAGATATAATGCATCCATTAATAAATATTGTAATGTTAAGTGAAAAAATGCAGGATCTAAAACTATAGCTTAATCCAACTCTATGAAATACATATACATAGGAAAAATGTCAAGAAGAAACATTAAGTGGTTATCTCTGGGCAACAGGATTAGATTTTCCTCTTTATACTGTTATTGTACTTTACATAAAGAAAATAATTCAAAGATTTTTAAAGCAGAATAAATTTTTATAAATTGAAAAATGACTACTGCCACCCAGTTCTAACTACTAAAAAAGAATAATAAATGAGAAGATCTTAACAGGAATAAAGAGTGGCTATATACATAGTGATAGGACTATTCTTTTGTCCTTCTGGGGTGTATCACAAAGGAATTTACTTCCTACATTAGAAAAGGCTTTTCTTTTGAGATGGAAATTAAGATGTTAAATTCCCTGAAAGAAGCTGTCTGATTTTCTCACTTTCCAGTTTACTAGGAAATCAATAAGGAAAGTGGAGAGTGCTATATTATCTATCCTCTGAAGACCTTGGATGTACATCTGCAGCAGGAGCTATAACCTGTCAGTTCTTTGAAGGAATGTCAGCATAAAGCACAGAGTAGAAAGTGAAGAGCACCTGGAGTCCCAAGTCAAGTTCTGTTTAGGACAACCTCTAGCTCTATGACTGTGGGTAGTAGAGAAGTCACCTAACTTGGTGTCCTCCTTTATAAAATGGGGCGGAGGAGGGACACAGTCTTTTTAGTTTCCTTACAAGGCTGAAGTTGTATGATTTCAGTTTTGGGGCGGGGTTGGTATTGTTTGTTTGTTTGTTCTCACGTGAGAAGCTAATACCTAATCACCTTAAGAATTAGAGCAATAAAGTAAGTTCTTGAATGATCATAAGATTATGTTTTTCAGTAGTCAAGTATAAATGGTTTCACCTTTCTTCACCATCTCTGTAGAGGGTTTAATTAGCAGTAGAGGATGAACCAAGATAGTGCCCCTACTGAATTACCCACTTGCTCTGTAGGGACTGTAACGCCACTCAGAGCAGATTACTCAATCCAAGCACTGGCCACTAATCTAGCAGTGCAAGAGTTTCATTACTTAGCAAGATACAGATTTTTTTTTTTAAGTCTAGAAGAGGAGGAAAGAACAAGTTATTCAGCAAATCTTTGAATGAAACACAATGGAGACAGTGGACAGCCCTTCTAAAAATAACCGTTTTCAGAGGGCCCAAAGATAAGAAAGCAAGTTCAAACTGCCTCATATTATTTAACTTAGCCAGGAGAGAAAAGACGTGTAAACAGAAGCCAGCCCCCCAGCCCCTACACACTTGATGTGCAAGTTTCTCTGCCTCCTGACCTATTTTATTCTGTGTAACCCAAGTAATATATAACTCAATTTATATTTTTGTTAAGCCTCTTTCAAAAGTATGTGGGTAACTGCAATGCATCTAATTGATAAAGGATTAATCTCCAGAATATATTAAGACATACAAAAAATTAATAAGAAAAAGTCAAAGAACCCAGTAAAAAATTTGGCTAAGAATATGGCAAGCAATTCATAAAAAGAGTAAGCCTTAATGACTAAACATTTAAAAGATGTTCACCTTCACTATAATCAGAAAAATGCAAACTAAAACCACAATGAGATACTATTTCATAGCCATGAAGACTGATAAAAATCTTAAATTAAATAATATCAATTGTTGGTGAAGATTTGGGACAATGGGAATGTAATCATTACAACCACACTGGAAAAAATTTGGCACCATCTAGTAAATTTAAACATATTCATAACCCAAGACCTAGCAATTCCACTCCCAGGTATACTTTAGGAAGATTTTTAACATTTTCAAATATACAGAAAAGAGGCAACAATGATTCACTTCACCCAGATTTACTAATTGCCAACATTTTGACACATTTGCTTTATTGTTCTATGTCTATATGTATAAAAAGATATTTTTTGAGCCACTTGAGAATAAATTGCAGATGTCATACTCTTTACCCCCAAATATTTCAGCATAGATTTCCTTAGGACGTGGAGCTTCACTTAATTAACCACAGAACAATTATCAAAATCAGGAAAATGTCAGTAATTGACATTACTGCAACACTTGTATCTAATCTACAGACCTTATTCAAATTTTGACAATTATCCCAATAATATCCTTCATAGTGTTTATTTCTGGTCCCTGGATCAAACCAGGATCATACATTACATTTACATGTCAAGTCTCTTGAGTCTCCCTTAATATTGAAAGCTTCCTCAGCCTTTCTTTGTTTTTCAAGATATCGACATTTTTTAAGAGTACAAACCACTTGTTTTGTAGGATGTCTCTTAATTTGGGTTAATCTGATGTCTCTTCATGACTAGATGCAGGTTGTACACTTTTGGCAGGAATTCTATGTAAACGATGTTGTATCCTTCTCAGCGCATCATATCAGGAGGCACGTGATATCAACTAGTCCCATGATTGATGATGTTTAACTCTGATCATTTGGTTTAAGGTAGTTAGTACTTACCAGTTTTCTCCACTGGAAAGTTTTTCTCTTTTTGATTAATAAGTAGATAATTGTTGCTTATAAGTATCTTTTTTTTTTTATTTTTTTGTGAGGAAGACTAGCCCTGAGCTAACATCTGTGCCCATCTTCTTCTACTTTATATGGGATGCCGCCACAGCACGGTTTGACAAGCGGTGCATTGGTGCGCACCTGGGATCCAAACCTTCAAACACCAGGCCACCAAAGTGGCACTCTTGAACTTAACCCCTATGCCACCAGGCTGGCCCCTACAGGTATCTCTAAAGAAGAGATCCTTTGAGACTACGGAAATATCCTGCTCCTCAAACTTTCACCCAATGGTATTACCATGTATTGATAATTCTTGCCTGAATAAACTGGTACTATGTGTCTTTTAAAATAGTATTTTCTCACTCCTTCCTTCCACATTTATTATTTGGCATTCCACTTTAAGGAAGAGCTTTTCCCCTATACTCTAGAGAGATTCTTATAAAACTGTGCACAAGTAGACATATAGAAGAACATTTTGCCACATTGTTTGCAATAGCAAAAAAATTATTTGCAGTAGTGGAATCAATCTAAAGGTTTATTAAATACACGGATAAATAGCAATATATACAAATATCGAATCATTATGTTGTGTACCTAAAACTAATATAATGTTATATGTCAATTATACCTCAATAAAAAGTTAATTAATAAATAATAAAACGCAGCTCATATTTTTTTAAAAAGATGGATATATACAGTGTGTACTACACAAGAGTTAAAATAAATTAAGTAGAACACTTACCAACTTATACAATTCACAAACATCAGAATGAACAAAGAACTCAGAATGATATATGGAAGGTGATGTTTTTATAGAGTTGAGTAACACAAAAACAATAAATACTATGTATTGTTTAAGGATACACACATGTATATGGGAAGTATGAAAATATGCATAAAAATAATAAACATCAAAATCAGAGTAGTAGTTTCAGGGGTTGGCAGGGTGATGGAATCACGGAGGGATACACAGAAGAATTTGATTGTCTCCATAAAGGTTTTTTTATTAACCTAGGAGTGGTGGCTACACATGTGATATAACCAAAAAAAAAAAAAGTGACATGGCACTGACAGTTGTTCCTAAGATGAAGATGTCTACTGTAAGAGAGCAGGTGTCAGCTTAAGAGCTCTTTAATAAGGCACACAGAGTCTGAAAAGGGGTATTATTATAAATTAGATGTCAAAAGAAGCACTACTGAATATATAATGTTACTTCCTTCCTGAAATATATTGACTATTGAGGGTCAGAATTACTGATTCAATTCACCTTAAATATAAACTTCTAACAGAAAAAAATATACAATTCAATCAACATAGAGGGGACACTCACTATGTATCAGGCATCAAAGCACAGGTTAGAAAGAAAAAAAGGAAATATTTATTTTGGCACCAAGAAATGTTCTTAAGTAGACCAAAAGTCTTCAAAATATAGATATAAACACATATTAGATTTAACTAGCACAGACACAATTTTTATACTGGTTTTTATTGTCATTAAGGAAATCCAATTATTATTAATAAATCAATCCTGATCCTTCAGAGCAAGCAACAGTTCTCAAACTGGTAAAATCCTGAGTCTACGAAATATTTCCTTTTGTTTCA